ACGTCGATCTTGACAGCAGAGCCCACTCAGATTTAAATACGCCTACTTCGATAGATGATCCCCATTGGACAATTAACAGTCCCACAAGTTATTTCCAAAATATTAAACCATTTTTAAAACTACAAGCACCGTATCTGCTCTATATATTCAAAAATGTTTCGGGATTTTTTTGCAGTGTATTTATTCAAGACATTGCAATATCTTATCAAAAAAGAAGTTTTATTGCTGCGTAACTTCAATAATAAACCACTTTTACAATTTAAAAGTTTAGCAAAAGTTAAAAAATCACATTAAAAATCCTCTCAATATAGTAATCTTAAACTTCTAACACTATTAGCTATTTAATAAAAAAAAAACAGTTTTGTTTCTTATCATATATATAAAAGCGATATATATGTTACCGTGAACGATCGAAATCAAGAGACTTGTCTTTCACCGAGGAATGTCGACAATCACATAGTCTCTTGGGTGAATTTCCGAAATATTTGTTAAATACGATTTGATATTAATTTATTTGTTATTCGTAATTAAATATTCGTTGATATTATTATATTTATTCGATGGTTTAGTATCTGCTGTGGATAGATTAGAAGAAATACCAGTGTTCGGAGTACCAGTTAAATGTATACCGGGCAGTGGCACTAAATCTTAAAGAAGCACTGATGTAGGGCATACCGGCAAATTTATACCGGGCAGTGGCACTGAATCTTTAAAAAAGCACTGATGCAGGACATACCGGGCAAATGTATACCACCCAGTGGAACTTAACTAGACTTAGCATATATTTCGAGCTATCTGCACATTGCACTATTTTATAAAAATTAAAAAGTTTTATTTTTACTACTAAATCACTTTAATAAAAAATCCTTTCACATTTTAACATTATATCAAAACTCTTTTAATAAAATAAAAAGCTTTCTTTTTTATGATGAATCACATTAGTAATAAAACACTTCCATATCAATAACCAAAGCATAATATCAACATTAATTATGCAAAAATAATTTTGTTTATTTATTTAGCAGTATTGCACTACTGTTTTATCGAAATTAAAGGTTTTATTTTTATTGATGTATCACTTAAAACTAAATTGCTTTCCCGTTTTAACACTATTCCAAAATTCAAACATCATGTCAAAAATAATCTCAGAAATATATAAAACTAATACAACACTTATTATTTACAAAAATGTTTCTAAAAGTCCCTGAAACTTTCCAGTAACTTTTAATAAATTAAAATAAATTCCTGCATCACTAATAAAACGTTCTATACTGATAAAAAAAAAATCATTTCACTAAAAATGAAAATCAATATTGTTAGTATAAACGTTACCTTATTTAATTTGTCTATATATTTCGAAAGTGCCACCAAAATATCCCAAAAAAACTTTTACTATTTCAACAAAAAAATTTTAAAGTTATTTGAAAAAATATTTTTGGATCACTAAAATCGTTCTCAAGCACAAATTGGATTTTTCTATTGGAGGATTTTTCTTTTGTTTTTATTATTCTGATAGGGATACTTTTTTTCACATTCACTTATTAAAAAATACATAATTACAATAAAAATAAGTTGTTTTAATTTTAATTCAAATTTCAGCATCTTTCATTATAAAAACTTGCAATATTTATAAGGTATCATTATAATGTAAGAGTGCTATTTTAAAGAATATTATTAAAAATTATAGCAATGAATTTATTTAATTTACATTATTGTTTGAGTAAAAAAAGGCTCCTTTAAATCCAAAGGCACGAACAAGGCTCCTAAAAACCCAAAGGCATTAAAAAAGGCTCCTATAAACTCAAAAATATTTATTACTGAGTTAAAATTTTATTTGATCAATTTTTTGGTGTATTTCTTTTGAAATCATTAAAAATATTTTTAAAACACAAAGAGATTTCTTTGTTATATGTAGAAATAATACTGATTGAGTATTACTGATTACAAATATGATAATGAAAATAGCCAATTAACCAAAGGAACATAATTTCTGCACTTGTTTATGTTTCAATTTGAGAGAGACATTTACAATAAATGACGTCGTCCCTTAAAAATAATTTAATTTATTTAATAAGATCAATTTAAATAGAATTAGAGTAAAAGTAAAATGTGCACTTAAAAAATAAAAAAAATGAAAATACCATTTTTCGAAATTAAATTTATAAATCTGATTATTATATGAATTCTTATTTAAGCAAAAAATTATCATTTATAACATTTTTGTAAGATTCTCTGCAACGCAAATCTTATTAAAGATACTGACTCACTTCATTACAACAAAAAAAAATTTAAGATCTCAAGTTTAAAAAAAAAATCATGAAGGTGACAAGTAAAGGAATTTTTACATTTAAAATTATAACAAAATATAAGATTTAGCCTCGTACATCTTAATCTTGTACTTTTTTAACTTAGTCTTTTTTGCGCCTCTAAGAAAATTTAATAAATATATCAAAGCGATGTTTTCTTAGTAAATTTTCTTTTTAAAGCATTATGTAAGAATATATTTTTTCCTTAAGGAATAAAATGTTATTATTTTCAGCTTTTAAGAGAAAGTGCGATGATTTTTTCCCTTAAACTCTGAGCGAGTTTTTTAATGTAGTAAATTTCTTACTACGCAGTAAACAGGCTTAGATTCTTACTGAAAAGATAAAAAATATTATTCGGTATAAGGCATATAAACATTTTAATATTAGTGAAGTGAGAAAAAGTTAGTTTACTTATTCTTTGGAGTATTACATCTTTAAAACTTAGAGTTTGTTTATTCAGTAAAAAAATAGCACTTTGCTTTAACTTTATTCCAAATATAGTGCGTCATAGCATTATTTTTAATATTGAACGAAACAGAAAATCATTCTGAAATCATCTTTTATCCTAAAAGAATTTTTATTTTCTGAATATATAGATCTATATTACGCAATTTAAATTAAAATCTAACTTTTTTATTGACTTAAAAAAATGACAGGAAGAAGTAACAAAAGTTTTAAAATAATGCACTTCCAGATGTTTTTATAAACAGGTTTTAACTTCCTTTTTAAACAGAATTTTAAAAAACTCAGTCACTGTTTCGAAAACAAATTTGAAATTTTTGAAGTTCCCAATATTTTTTTACTTCTTTCATCTCTATGTATCACATATTATTATGTATTACATATTTTTATTTTGTACTGTCTAGTTTTCTAATGTAACAAGATTTTTACAATATAGTAAAATGTTTACTTTCTTTCACTATTAGAGGACTGTTTTATATTAAAGAAATGAGAAAATAATTGCATCGTTATAAAATGTTAGCATACATTTTTTTCTATTGTGAGTATAGTATTTTACATAGTTGAAATGAATTCTTCATTTCTATTCTGAATATGATGTTTCATTGTCTTATTTTTAATAATTTTTCTAAAATTATTAAAAAATTTCCTTTTATTATTATAGGAGGATAATAATTTTTCTATTATTATCAGGAGAATTTTTTATTATTATCGTATGTCCTAAAAACATATTTTTATTTTGACTATATAAAATTAAAATTTTTAATAATTTAAAACATTTTTCAGTTAATTTTTTTCCCAAACACACAATATAGACAATTTTTCCCATCAATTTAAAGTAAGAAAACCTTTAAAATAATGTATTTTCAGATTTGTTAGTAAATTTATTTTCAAAATGTTTTTTTATCAAAACAATGACGTCATTTTGGTCAAAATTATTAGAAATCTTTCAATAAAAAAGAGGTAATTGATAATACTAATCACTAATAAGAAGTTATACTTAATCATTACTTATAAAAAAAAAGTTCTTAAAAATGTATTCTTAATTTATTGTAATAATGTGCTTAATATTTAATTCATATAACTACGTTTTTAATCCATATTATTAATATTAATGTTAGATATTTATTAAGCTATCCTTTATGGTTACTCTTTAAAATTTATATTTGAATTCTTGTTTTTTGTTATTATCATTTAATATTTATGATTAAGTTCTTCATTGTTATTAATATGTTTCTAAAGTTTTAACAGGATGTGCGTGCTTACAAAAATTTTAAGAAGAATTACATCTTTTCCTTTTTTTATTACATCTTGTGACGTTTTTATTCATTACAACATTGCTGCAAAGTATTTTTCAGTATTGGAAGTAAAATTGATTTTACCGATGATGCACCTACAGTGCCGGTACTTTATATCGTAATTTGAACCTGGATTTCTTACAGTGTCGAAGTATTAATACAAAAAGTAATAAGTTTTCATTTGCTACAGTTAATAAACTGAATTGTTATGTTTGTATAGGTGTAACCGTAATGTACCGAATTTTTAACTGAATTGTAATGTACTAAATTTTAACTGAATTGTAATTGCACTACATTCCGAAAATATCGTTTTTCAAAAATTTAGAAACTTAGAACAAAGTTTTATTTTTAAATACATTTTTGCTTAAAACAATTTATTCTTATAAATTTCCAGAGACTACAAAAAATAATAGCTCAGAATTACTTTTTTTTCTGTTGACTTAAAGTAAAAAGTGTAATTAAAAACTTTTATAGAATTTTAACACTTCTAGGCACCTTTAAAGCATTTTAACTTTTAAAAGTAAATAACTGTAAATAACTTTATTCTTAATTAATTCTTAATTTGTAAATAACTTTTGTCTTAAGATGCATTTTTATCATTATAATAGCATCATTCATTATCAAAAAATATAAGAAACTTTTAAAAAAAATAATAATAACAAATTGATAATCTTAACTATTACTTCTCAAAAAAAATAAAATGAAGTTTTTCAGATTTCATCAATAAATTCATTAGAATCTTGATATAAGAATGTAAGATCGAAATTTCGAACGACAATTTCCACACTGAGTAGAAATAATGCTTTTTTTTTTAATTTATAAGCAATTTAGTTTTTGTAGCAAACGATAAAGTTGCAGTGAAATGTAAAAAGTTATTGGGAAACTAGATAATATTTTTTTTATAAAATTGAACTTTAATGAATAATCGTCGTCTTACTTGTGTCGTCATCATTGAAATCAGATTCAATACTTTTTTCAGAGACATTATCCGAAAAGGAGTCGTCTTTTACTTTTATCGGTTCAATGGAACAAAGTTCAAAAATATTATTTGTATGACTGTGGATCTGAAAAAAAAGAAATAAAAATTATTCAAGTATTACTAAAAAGAAGAATTCAAAGATTAACAATATTTTTCTTTAAGTAGAAAAAGTATTTAATATAAACTATTTATGAAGACGTATTAATAATTATATATAGCAAAAAATAAAATAAAAAATTCCAAAAGGAAATTTTTCTTATAAAAAACAATCTGTGAAAAAAATAATTATTAAGTTAGAAAAAACTGTCACAAAAGTTTCAGTTTTGCAGTAAATTAAGAAAAATTTGAGAAAATTATTATTAAGTTTAGAAAATATCATTGTCCAAGTTTAGGGATTAAAATTAGAGTACTTAATTTTCAAATCAATTTTCTTTTCCGTTTATTTTAATTGGGATAGACCATGATTTTTTTTTTACATCAAAAACTGAAATTAGACAGTTTTTAATAAATTTTTTTGATCACTGAAATGTTAACTTGCTGCTGCTTATCCTAACTGTTTTAGCCAATATGCAACACCAGCTATATAATATATATATATATATATATATATTCGCGCAATGTATATAA